TTGACAAGGACTAAATCATCAATATAGAATAAGTCATTGTTCCGTGACTTAATCACCAATATAGAATAAATCATTTTTCACACGGACTAAATCACTTGTATGCAATAAGACCGTGTCCATTGACTCAATCTCTGGTGTAGAATATGCCATTGTTCAATGATTTGTGTAGAATAAGTGATTGTCCAGCTATAGTTGATATATATTGTAAGCTATAGTTGTGTGACTTCCACGTTGTAACCCCATATCTATATTTAATTCTGTGAAATGATTTTTTCAGTTACCGTCCGTTGTCGCAAAGAAACTACAATTTGTCATAAGTAGACATGGGTTTGTTACTCACAGAGCGGTTTCAACCTCATTTTTCCATGAATACAGAATATATAACCACAGGAAAGTTGTTTAACTTGTGAAAAACAGCTTTTTAATTGGAAGCATGGTTGTCTTGGTTTGAATTGGAGCTGGGCGAGGCTTCCTTTGAAAAGCATAACAAAAAGTAATCAAATGATACAGTGTTTGTAGCGCAGATACACAATTTACACCTCGTTGATTATCTCCCCCCGAGTCTCCTGATACACGTTGATTATCTCCCCTTGAGTCTCCTGATACACGTTGATTACCTCCTCCTGAGTCTCCTGGTTCACGTTGATTACCTCCTCCTGAGTCTCCTGGTTCACGTTGATTATCTCCTCCTGAGTCTCCTGGTTCACGTTGATTACCTCCCCCAGAGTCTCCTGATACACGTTGATTATCTCCCCCTGAGTCTCCTAGTTCACGTTGATTATCTCCCCTTGAGTCTCCTGATACACGTTGATTATCTCCCCTTGAGTCTCCTGATACACGTTGATTACCTCCCCCCGAGTCTCCTGATACACGTTGATTATCTCCCCCTGAGTCTCCTGATACACGTTGATTATCTCCCCCTGAGTCTCCTAGTTCACGTTGATTATCTCCCCTTGAGTCTCCTGGTTCACGTTGATTACCTCCCCCCGAGTCTCCTGATTCACGTTGAGTATCTCCCCTTGAGTCTCCTGGTTCACGTTGATTGTCTCCCCCTGCGTCTCCTGGTTCACGTTGATTACCTCCGCCCGAGTCTCCTGATTCACGTTGATTATCTCCTCCTGAGTCTCCTGATACACGTTGGTTATTTCCCCTTGAGTCTCCTGATACACGTTGATTATCTCCCCTTGAGTCTCCTGGTTCACGTTGAATATCTCCCCCTGAGGCACCTGATTCACGTTGAGTATCGCCCCCTGAGTAGTCCTGATACACGTTGATTATCTCCTCCTGAGTCTCCTGATACACGTTGGTTATTTCCCCTTGAGTCTCCTGATACACGTTGATTATCTCCCCCTGAGTCTCCTAGTTCACGTTGATTATCTCCCCTTGAGTCTCCTGGTTCACGTTGAATATCTCCCCCTGAGGCACCTGATTCACGTTGAGTATCGCCCCCTGAGTAGTCCTGATACACGTTGATTATCTCCTCCTGAGTCTCCTGATTCACGTTGATGATCTCCCCCTGCGTCTCCTGGTTCACGTTGATTACCCCCCCCCGAGTCTCCTGATTCACGTTGATTATCTCCTCCTGAGTCTCCTGATACACGTTGGTTATTTCCCCTTGAGTCTCCTGATACACGTTGATTATCTCCCCTTGAGTCTCCTGATACACGTTGATTACCTCCCCCTGAGTCTCCTGATACACGTTGATTATCTCCCCCCTGAGTCTCCTGATTCACGTTGATTATTTCCCCTTGAGTCTCCTGATACACGTTGATTACCTCCCCCCGAGTCTCCTGATACACGTTGATTACCTCCCCCTGAGTCTCCTGATTCACGCTGATTATCTCCTCCTGAGTCTCCTGATTCACGTTGATGATCTCCCCCTGCGTCTCCTGGTTCACGTTGATTACCTCCGCCCGAGTCTCCTGATTCACGTTGATTATCTCCCCCTGAGTCTCCTGATACACGTTGATTACCTCCCCTTGAGTCTCCTGATACACGTTGATTACCTCCCCTTGAGTCTCCTGATTCACGTTGATTATCTCCCCTTGAGTCTCCTGGTCCACGTTGAGTATCGCCCCCTGAGTCTCCTGATACACGTTGATTATCTCCTCCTGAGTCTCCTGATTCACGTTGATTATCTCCCCCCGAGTCTCCTGATTCACGTTGATTACCTCCCCCTGAGTCTCCTGATACACGTTGATTATCTCCCCTTGAGTCTCCTGGTTCACGTTGATTGTCTCCCCCTAAGTCTCCTGATACACGTTGATTATTTCCCACCTAGGCTCCTGATACACATTGATTATCTCCCCCTGACATCCAGGGCCACTTCAAGGCTGCCTTTTATCATCTTAACTCGTGATATTGATTAGATATTCAGGACCCTTTACATCAAAACTACCATTTTATAGTTCCCTTCAATATTCGTTCATATCTTAAGCGAATTATGTTGAAGGTACAATGTAGCATTGAGTATTTTCAACAGGTTTATTGGTGTATTTCTTGACAGAAATCGAATTGCTTATCGGCGTCCCATCTGTCTGACCACCACTCCCTATCGCCAATACTGTTGATGGAGTGCTAGGTCAGCAGCTCCGTGTTTATATTCCGCTCTTTGTTCACGTGTCATTAGCAATACACGGACAGGGAACTGAAACCGCCGCCGCGATCAACATTTTCTCTGTGTATTCAAGATATAAAAGTGCTCGCAGAAAGAGATTATAACAATACCCAATCGGCTAAACGATACTAAGGAGAGATCAGTTTCAAGAGCATCTTTTATTGATTGGAAATTCTACCCCTTTGTTTAATCTTGTTCCATTTAAAGATTTTCTCGCGTTCCATAAAATCTCGATAAAATTACATCGGTCTTTTTCATGAAAATAGATATGAAACTGACTATGTATGGAACTGTCTGTACTATATCGGTTAGGTTATAACACGGATAGAATGAACAGTAAAGCCGTACAGTGATAAATAGGGAGTCTGATTAATTCATTAGAGGAAAAGTGGAAATTTTATGTTAAAGTGATTTTTAGCTCACCTGGCACGAAGTTTTCTCAAATAAATGACCTTGACCTTCTTTATAGATCACAATAGTCAAGAGGCTTACAGCAATGATACTTGGCCAGTAGGTACCTGGCACAGAGTGATATTAAGTTTCCCTAAATAAATAACTTTACCTACTTTCGAGGTCACACGAAGATCAAAAACACATTTAAACAACATCTGATTAACCAGGAGGCCCAGAGTAACGATACTTGGCCAGTAGGTACCTGGCATGGTGTGCTATAAACTTTCCTCAAATAAACGACCTTGGCCTACCCTAAAGATCACAAGCGTCAAATGATTTTAAAACATTTAAACATTTTCTTTTGATTAACCAAGAGGCCACGAGCAATGATATATGCTCTGTAAGTACCTAGGACAAAGTGATATTAAGTTTCCCCAAATAAGTTACCTTGACTTACTTGCACGGTCACAGGGGTCAAATATGTAAATATTTTAAAACAAGTTCTTCCACAATACCACGAGGTCCTGGGTGATAATATTTAATATTTTAACAGTAGCATGCTAGGAAAGAGTAGTATGAAGTTTCATTTATTCTGAAATATTCTTTAGCTATGGATACTCAATACATGTATATGAAAATATTTGCATAAGCACTTTTAATTGAGAACATTTCCCCATGATTGTTCAAATATCCCAGTTGAGCTTATGGTTTGGTGTTGTCCGTCGTCCGTCAACTTTTTCTTTGAATGACTTCTTCTTAAGAACTGGAGGACCTGAGGCCATGCTATTTCGCCAGTAGGTACATAGGACAGAGTGCTTTTATACAGTTTCCTCAAATAAATGGCATTGACCTACTTTTAAGTTCACATTGGTCAAATATGCAGAAATCTTTAAACATCTTCTTCTGATTAACCAGAAGGCCCAGAGTAATGATATATAATCAGTAGGTACCTGGCATGAAGTGCTTTAAAGTATCCTCAAAATTATAACTTTGACCTTCTTTCAAGGTCACAGGGTTCAAAATTGTAAAATGAAACTTTCAACAACTTCTTCAGAATAATCGAGAGGCCTTACGCAACGGTATTTGGCTAGAAAGTACCTGGGACAGATTGCTATACATTTTCCCCAATTAAAGGACCTTGGCCTACTTTTAAGGTCACAGGGGTCAGAAATGCAGAAACCTTTAAATACTTTTGGCCAGTAGGTACTTCGGACGGAGTGATAGAAACGTTCCTCAAGTAAATGACCTTGACCTACTTTCTAGGTCACAGTGGTCAAATGTTATTAATACCTTTAAACATCTTCTTCTGAATAACCAGAAAGTCCAGAGTAATGATTCTTGGCCAGTAGGTACCTGGGATAGATTGCTAAAACGTTTCCCCAAATTAATTATCTTGATCTACATTCACGGTCAGAGGGGTCAAATATGAAAATATCTTTAGACATGTTCTTCCACAATACAAGGAGCCCCTGGATGATGATATTTGACCAGTAGCGTGCTGGGATAGAGTTTTTAAGTTTTATTTAGTTTGTAACATTCTTAAGGCAATGGAGACTCAATATATCGAAATATTTGGAAATGTTATTTTATTGAGAATATTTTCCCATATGATTGCTCAAATATCCAAGTGAGTGATACAGGCCCTCTTTGCCTATTGCTTGTTGTTCATGACAGTCACGTTAAAACGAATTTGGAACTGACGATAAATACGACATCTTCAGTACTGCATTCGCGTCAACTTCTCGTTTCGAACGTTATTAAACACTTTGTATTGTAACGATAAATGTACGTGATTTGTTTGTTGTAGAGCAAGTCAAAACTGAGTTCTCTTTGCTAACCCCGTTAACGAGGAAACTTCTAACAATAACAATTGTTAATCAGCACACACACAATAATTAAACTCGTGGCCTGTATGATGGTTTACCCGTGAAATGCCAGTTTATAATTCTTTCTTCACGTGATTCTTAAAAACAGAATACTTTATTTTCAGATTGATATTACTGGCGTGACATCAGTGACCTTATTTACGTCACAAGTAAGTAACACTTTTTTCTTCTTTTATTTATTCATCTTTTCCGCTTGAGCTTTTGTTATTGTCAGTTGTCCTACCGACTAAGATTAATAGTTTCCGTTGCATTCAGCATGTCATGAAATCTCTTGATGTTTTTTGTGCCTTCCACATGTCCATGTGGCCATCTTTTGAGGACTGGTTTTTATTCGATGTATGCAATTCTATGCGTGTACTCCTAGACTGATCCTTACATGTCAGTGTGATTACACATTGGAATCTTAGGCATGTCAAGAGCTGTCCGTCATTTTTGTGACACATACATGGTACCAGTTTGTCCTAAGACATCACTTCATCGGTTCTATATCTCAACATACGCATTATCTAGACATGTTCAAATCGTTTATGTTAAAACGGTAGCAGCCACTCCGTTCGGATCTTCTCTGGATATTTGACGAAAATGCACAAGCAAGAGTTATACAACTAGGCCGTTTCTCGAACCACGTACAGGTCACAACACGCAGTGTATAGGTCACCGCAAAAAGTTTGGTCAAATGTAAAATGTGTGCAACGCGTCTGGCGATTGTACCTTCAGAACATTATTCAATAGAATTGTATAACTGAGGGCAGGATGAATATGGCAGGATAACGTGTAACACGCAAAGATCAGTTCCGTCAAAATAAATGTCATATTAAAAGATAAAAGGTCATACTGGTTCTGAGCTGCTTAATAATGAAACGTGAGAAACGAAGACCATGTGTCGCGTGTTATTAAAATGTTCATTACACTAGCTCGAGGTCACAGCAACTGTCAAATGTCAAATCACTACAATGCTCCTCCAAACAGCATTGGTAACATCGGATATCGCGTATTTCACAGTCGGTTCGGTCAATGTTAGAGTCATTACAATCCTTAAGCATTACCCCTCAAGGTTAAAGTTCAGTGGCGATATGGCTTTGGACCCCCGCATGCTACCCTCAAGGTCAAAGTTCAGTGGCGATATGGCTTTGGACCCCCGCATGCTACCCTCAAGGTCAAAGTTCAGTTGAGATATACGAGAATTTCTGTAAGCACCACTTGGTAATCTATAAACTTTTGAGAATGCTTCTTTATCAAGTAGCCTCTAAGTCGTGCTTTATATTCATCTGTAGATTTCAGTATTGACATGTCTGTATCTGCACGTTTTGGCACCTTCATGACCAGTGTAGCTATATATATTAAACCATGTAGTCTTTGTGTCTTTTGGGTTTCTTACCTACCAGAACGTGACAACATACCTCGCGTATCTCTGACTGGATTGAGAGTAAATACTTTACTCTTTGTGTCACTGACTCGGAAGAGCTTGTGTCACTGACTCGGAAGTGCTTGTGTCACTGACTCGGAAGAGCTTGTGTCATTGACTCGGAAGGGCCTGTGTCACTGACTTGAAAGAGCTTGTGTCACTGACTTGGAAGAGCATGTGTCACTGACTCGGATGAGCTAGTGTCACTGACTTGGAAGAGCTTTTGTCACTGACTAAGAAGAGCCTGTGTCACTGACTCGGAAGAGCTTGTGTCACTGACTCGGAAGAGCCTGTGTCACTGATTCGGAAGAGCATGTGTCACTGACTCGAAAGAGGCTGTGTCACTGACTCGGAAGGGCCTGTGTCACCGACTCGGAAGAGCCTGTGTCACCGACTCGGAAGAGCCTGTGTCAACGACTAGGAAGAGCCTGTGTCACTGACTCGGAAGAGCCTGTGTCACTGACTAGGAAGAGCCTGTGTCATGTGTTGCTGACTTAAAGGCATCTTCCCTCGGTGTAATATCATTGAGGACGTGTTCCACTTTCTAGTTAGGCTTCATTTTCTGGCCATTTTAAAATTAACTCTAAAATGCATTTAAGTTAAAAATAAATAATTTAATTACAAACTAATTACATGATGCCGACGATGAACAGATTTTAGAAAATTAATAAACACCAATAATCAATTAACATTTGAGAAGCAATCAATTTTTGTTGTCTTTATGTGTTAATGTAGTTTTGTAGAATTTTGTACTTGTTAGAATGTTTGCTTGCATTGTGTGTGTTTTTGGGTTGTTTATGTTGTGTTTCTTTTTGCTCGTTTATTGTAGCAGAGTGCATTGTTTATTGGATGTGGGTGTCTTAGGGAAACATTTTCGTGCCAATCATCATTTGTGTGATACATCATCAACATCTGTGCACCATATTATTGCAATTCGTGTACTACGTCATCACTGTCGTCATGCCAATTCTAACCCGAAGTGAACAAATAGAGAAAGCTACAAGTCACGTGAATCAGATGAAGCGCCACCTGCAATGTCCGCGCACGCCCATGAGTGTCTCCATCCAGGAAATGATCACGTTTTGTAAAGAAAACATTGATAATGACCCGCTTGTTAACCCAGTCAAGGACAACCGTTTCAAGGACGACCCTTGTAAAATATGCACAATAATATGAACATAATGTAATATAAGTCCAACAAGTTGTTGTTTGTATTGGTTTATTGTAACACATTGACTGTAAATAACGGGTAATTATCAGAGAAATTAAAATGATAGATCCCTCCACCCTGAGCAAAGGTACTCTTACTCAAATTCATATTAAACAATGTTAAGCTCACCTAGACCGAAGGACCATGGTGAGCTTATGCCGTACCGCGACGTCCGTCGTCCGTCCGTCATCTTTTCTTTTAAAACGCCTTAAAATGTCCTGAACATCTTAAGGATTTTGACCAAATTTGGCTTGGAGCATCATTGGGCAAATGGGACTCAATCTTTGATTAATACAGAGATGCATTTAGGGACAGAGGGGCGGGCCCAATAAGGGAATTTGAGGTTAATTTTAAAAATCCACCCCAATTCATGGGCCAGAAGGCTAGGAAGAGACCTAATGAGGAACGGGTGTTACTGAGAGACAGCCAATATATGAAAATATTTGCAGTATTATACGTAATTTTACATGGTTGCTTTATCATCCAGGTCAGCAATACAGGCCCTATTGGTCTCTTTGTTTAGTACTGGTCTTGCACAAGTCAATTTAATACATGTACATGTGGTTATAACTGGTATCTTGACATGAAAAAAATAAGCACATTGTTTTATAAACAGCTGGAGTTTACATTGGAATCTCGTTAATCCGGCCATGGTGTATCGAAAACTCGTTATTCCGTTCGGTGGGTGGGTCCTGTGCTTAATTGTACAGACTAGCGAGATTTCCACGGTATGCTGTAGTAAGTCGTGTGATTGTATCACACAGTTTGATCTTGTATTAGTCTCGTTCAACCAGACTCTTGTTGTCTGCGCAAGCTACGCCGAAACTTGAATTACAAGTGATCAAGCGTCTGGTTGAACGAGACTACACATGTTGCATGTATGTTGTGGTTTTCTGTATTGTGTACGCTATTACATTGCTCTCAGATTATATATAAAAATCCAGTGACGAAAAATGTCATTTTTAGCTGTTGATGATTAATACTCATCTTGTGTTTCAATAATTATGTCGGTTTGGATGTAAACAAAGGTAAGTGACGCTTTTTTGACAACAAACAGGGGTTAGTTTAAGCCTATCTTCTTTTCGAAAAGCAATTGGATTAGACAGAAGCTATAAAACTTGCAGTATAAACGAATTCTGCTACCTACTTATATCTAGACTGCATTTATCGCTAATACGTCATGCTATATACCGGCATGAATGTCAAACAATCTCCGTTCAACAAATAAATCTGCAATATAGATTTATAGTTATTAGGGATCTTAATAAAAGTAATCGTGAATTGCCTTATATTTATGAGCGTGGGTGGGTATCGTAGCTGCAAACAGTATTCCTAGAACAGCATAACATCATCTATATGTTAGCTACTGTCTTCGTACGATTGCTTATCGTTATACAGGCCTCAGACCACAGTTAATGCTTCCGGTTCGTTGTACCGATTTTAGTGCATTTCTCAATTTTAGTCTCGTTTTTAAATGAGTTTTTATTTCTTTCATGTGAATGAAATGAAACTATATGTCATACCAAAATGAAGCAAGTTCTTTCCCCCTTTAATTATGGTGGTCGATAAGTTTGTGTGAACTTTATTTTGGCGGAAGGATATGGTATGTTGTTGGTCCCCTGAGTATGAATTTCAGGGTCATATCATAGTACAACGGGGTTATGTTGACATAATCAAAAGTATGCTAGTCATGAATAGTTTTCCAGCTCAAAACAAACTGTGTCTTGGATAGCTGTACAAAACCTTTAAAGATAAGGTCTCGAGCAATATCATACAACATGTTATTAAAGGGTTTTTTTCCCGGTAAGAACATGGAGGGACATTGATTGTGGTCTGAGGCCATAGGAGGCGGGAGGATAAACGTCAAAATGACACGGATTCGATATCAATCATATCATAGGAAAGTGTTTTCGTCTGGTAGTAAGTTATACAGGGCCCAGCAACGGCCCGTTCTTTCATGGCGTTAGGCTCCTAACCCCTGTTACAGTGTCACCAGACAATCATCAGGCACAGAACAAACATGTTAGGGTGGCCTTTTAAACATAAATCAGATAAACTACATGTATCATACCTGAAAACGCGAGGAAAATCTCAACGAACAAAATTACCTTCTCTTCAAACATTACGAAGTGTAAGTTATGTTATCTTCCGATACTGAGCTGTATAGCTATGGACGAAAGGAATATTTCGGGCAAAATTTCAATCTTATAATACCGTAATAACGTTTATAGAAGACAGTTCGGTGGTGCGTGCAATGTGTAGGTGTTTGTTATGGGTTTATAATTTTGTAAACTATGTATCGAATTTATGCTTAGATTGAATGGTTATCGATGAAAATATTTGCTTGTTTTAGCACAACTGGCCGAAGGGCCAAGTGAGTTTATGCCGTTGCGCAGCGTCCGTCTGTCGTTCGTCATCCGTCAACTTTTCCCTTTTAATGGCTCTGTGGATTTTGACCAAGTTTTGTCTGGAGCATCATTTGCCTAATGACTATCAGTCTTGTATAAACGGAGGGTGTGACCCCTAGAGTGGGGGCCAAATTGGGAGAAAGGGGTAAATGTTCAAAACTCTTCTCCTTCTCAACCAATGGAGGGATTTTGGCCTTTGTTCTAGAGCATCGTTTGACAAAGGGTCTCAATGGTGTATAAACAGAGGGGCATGACTCAATATTGGAAATATAGGAAAATCTTTCTCCTTCTGTATACAAATGATATGGGGTACATTATTTGGGTACAAAGGCTAAATTTTGTATGCTACCAGGATTTGCCAGGAGGTCCAGACCAACCCATAAAAATAACTCCCTGTGTCATTACATGGTAACAGTTATGATCCCCACCCAATAACCAGTTACAAAAGTGCTGGACATGAAGAATACTCTCTTGTTCTTGGTGTCTTACCCATCCAAACAGATTTAAATGTAGTCCTTCTTGCAACTTGTATTTCTTGTACTGGTATGGAAGTCAGCAGGTTTTAACTTAAAAATGAAAATATCAGGTGAGCTACAGGCCCCTGGGCCTCTTGTTAAATATCAACTCAATGACAGTCCGCATGTTATAATTTTTCATCTTCGCGATTCGTCTTGTTCCTATTGTACATACTAATAACAATATCTTCATCATATTGTACCTTTATTGATTATGATATAATGTGACCTCCGTTGGTTAAGGGACAGTAATTAATCATGATTGAATAAAACCATTTCATCTTACCTTGGATGTTATCTCTTTTTCAACCAATAATCTTCTTCATAAATAGCAAATCTCTTCTCTGAACAAAGCTGGCTATGAGGTGTTCTAGAACATGCGTCAACCTGTTCAGGTATTGGTCTGGTTTATACGTCTCCCTCGACATACACGTACTGTAGTACTTGTACAAAACTGGCCATGAGGTGTTCTAGAACGTGCGTCAACCCGTACAGGTATTGGTCTAGTTTATACGTCTCCCTCGACATACACGTACTGTAGTACTTAACGATAGACATAAATGCAATAGTAGTATACGTAGTCCAGAGATAAACCGATCAATCGAAGTGTTGATATATGTATGTCGTTCGAGAAGTGTTATGATAACCTACACAAAGAACTATTTTGTGAATATATGACAGAATCTTGCAAAAGTCTTGTGGTATAAATAAAGCGCTATTTTATGTTTAACTAAGGCTTTACTGTTTTAGGCTTTTGATATATCTAGACCTGAACTCTGATTATACAGTGAAACAAAAGTCGAACGTAACAATAGTAAAGGATACACAAACTAAACAGAAATGTTGGGACCGAGGAAAAACAGGACGACAGCCTGGCTACCAGGACCGATTACAACCACATGTTAAAGAGCTGAATGAGGCACGTGAAACCAGATCGTAACTAGTACGAATGATGTACTCAACGCCTAGTTAGGGTATGGAAGATATCATTACAGATATGGGAATTACATTAGCTTGATGCTGAAACAGAATGAGATATAAACAAACCACTGATTGACTGACACGTTTGTGTAAGAGTCTCTATAAGCTCTATTTAGAAAAAAAGCCAAGGGGAGGTTACTCTACAAATAATATTGCTAGCAGAAGGACAGTTATCCAAACTTAAACAGCACTCATTTAGCCGATCAACCCAAGTAGCTATCGCGACTATTTGCGAAAGTTTTTGAAATACACCGTATATAACCACTATGGTATAAATAACATAGTATTCACTATATCAATACTACCATGGTAACCACTATAACAATACTACAATGGTAACCACTATATCAATACTACAATGATAACCACTATAACAATACTACCATGGTAACCACTATCACAATACTACAATGGTAACCACTATCACAATACTACAATGGTAACCACTATCACAATACTACCATGGTAACCACTATCACAATACTACCATGGTAACCACTATCACAATACTACCATGGTAACCACTATCACAATACTACCATGGTAACCACTATCACAATACTACCATGGTAACCACTATCACAATACTACCATGGTAACCACTATCACAATACTACCATGGTAACCACTATCACAATACTACCATGGTAACCACTATCACAATACTACCATGGTAACCACTATCACAATACTACCATGGTAACCACTATCACAATACTACCATGGTAACCACTATCACAATACTACCATGGTAACCACTATCACAATACTACCATGGTAACCACTATCACAATACTACCATGGTAACCACTATCACAATACTACCATGGTAACCACTATCACAATAC